ATCTCGGTATTTTTTTTAAAAAATTTTCCATCCGATATCTGATATTTATTTGCATTCATATTTATTTCGTATAATGATAATCAAGTGACTAAATTATGTTGAGAGAAGAAAATTACTTCATTTGTAACTATAACTCTGCAACATTTTGGTAATAGTTTACAAGGACTTTAAGCTTTTTGTCTCATTTTTTGTACTGTAGACATAACTATTTCAAATTGTTACCAAGATTAACACTTACGCATATTTTTTCATAACAAACATATGAACTTTAATTTAAATCAATTTTAGAAATTATTCCGCTAAATGTATACGAATCTCCAGAGGCATATGTAACATCCAATCAATAGGTCCAATTGAATTTTGCATTTTCGACACAGATTTAAAATATATAAGTAAAAGATTACTAAATTTAAAAAAAAACAATAAATTTTGAACATATAACTTACAAAATGTAGTGAGTTCAACTATAAAAATTTCCAAGTTCAAAACAACTCATAATCCACGAGATGTCAGAAAAAAAATATCCATAAGATCTCCTTTTTTTCATAATGAAAACTGTCCTTTCTCTATCAATTACCACTATCTTTAAGAACTAATTTCAAAAAGCTAATGATTACTAATATCTGCTATATAATGATCAGAACATGTAATTCTCATGATATATAATTATATATATACCTTAAGGAGAGGCAAAAGGAATGTCAAGATTTAATACAACATAGTTTGATTAGACTCAAAAGTCATAAAATTACCTTGCCTTTATATATGTGCTTTGAACTTTGCAGTAGCAATAATAAGTCCTTTTCATATGGCAAAGATGAGTAGGTGACAATATAGCTTTAAAGCACTTAGGTCAAATCACTATAATGCTCATACAAGAGTTGTATATATTTGCGACAGCGGAGCAATAATTTTAGCTTTACTAGTTCTGAATTTTAGAACGACGATTTCAAATTTTAATAGTTGACTTATATATATACTTCATCTGATCCACTTTAAATAATTTTTTTTGCTCTTTTCACACATATTAACAAATTCATCTTTTAGCATTAATTAACAATAGAATTGATCATATTAACCTTAATTTGCAAATTAAAAATATAACAAATTACTCTTAGACTCTTTACTTCAAGGGCAACTTTGAAAAAAAGAAGTTAATTCCTTTTTGATATAAAAAGGCCAAAACATCACTTAAAATGGACCGAAAGAGTAATAAATTTCTTAACACAAATATATTATTCGAGTAAATTTAGTGGATTCAACCTGACCCATAGGTGGGCTTCTACCTCCGTTCATGTATATCTGCATATTTTACCGCTCCAATGTTCAGTCCGCTCCATCACCTGTGATGAATATAGCTTATTTGTTGTAGATTCAATCAAATCTAGTTCTTCAAAAATTAAAGTTTTAAAATTATTACTCCCTCCGTTTCGATAAGATTAGCATAGTTTGGAGTACGAGGGTCAAAGTACTTAACTTTGACTATGAATTTGGACATAGATTCTAAGTTATATTTTCGAAACTACATAAAAAGTACGGATAATAAAAATGTCAAATATATCTTTGTACTATAAAAAAAAAGCTAAATATATCCCTCGTTATACTTTGAGTCCAAATATATTAAATATACCCTTGTCATTATACTTTGACACAAATATACCCCTTATTTTAACAAAGAGACGTATGTCATCATCTTATTAGTCTATTTTAAACTATCCCCTAATTAATTAAAATCCAACCTATAACCTGATATCCAATTAAAATACCCATACCCGAAACCCAAAAATTACTCTACTTTATTGACATAAATATTCAACACAAAAAAAATTGGAGTACTAAGGTGCCACCATAGCAGCAAGTAATTGACAGTTGGATTATAAATGCAAAGTCATTAAAAGTCAAAAATTAGTTAATGACGTTGACTGATTTCCTTCTTTGCTCTGAATCGCAAGCTGAATTCTTTCATATGTTTATACTTTATAGCATGCAAGTTCAGTTAAAAGGACATATTTTAGTCATTTTGATGGTTTCGGTTTACTACAACCAAAAAGATTCAAAATCAAACTAATGTTTCTCTGTTTTCTATTTTCGAGTATTCTTTAGACATGAAAGAGGACGAGGGGGAAAAAAAGAAAAGAAAAAAAAAAGAGGAAGAAGCGAAGTTGTCCGGAGGAAAAATAATGGGAGGAGTGTGCGAAGAAGAAGGGAGCAAAACTTTCATTTTAATTGGATATATATATGAGTATGGATCTTTTAATTGGATATCGGGTTATGAGTTGGATTTTAATAAGTCAAGGATAGTTAAAAATAAACTAATAGGATGATGACACGTGTCCCTACGTTAAAATAAAGGGTATATTTAGGTCAAAGTATGATTGTAGAGGTATATTTGAACCCAAAATATAACAAAGGATCTATTCGATCATTTTTCGATAGTACACGGGTATATTTGACCATTTTCCGTAAAAAATATTATAAGTCATAATAATTCATAATTCAAAATATTTATAAAATATTTAAGAAAAATGTGGTCAAAGAATAATCTTGTAGACTTCCCAAATAGTAATAGTGTAAATTTGTTTGAAACGGAAGGAGTATAATTTTAACAATTATTACATTCTGAACTCATGCTTGCAAACGTTCTATAGATTCAACGTTACGAAATTTAAAAATTGAACTCATCAAGTTTAAATTCAGCGTCTCAAAACTCAAACTACTTTATTTTCTTTCTAAGTGTGGTGGGATCAATTCCAGCAAACCATTTTGTCTCTTTTCTGAAAAAGAAGCTGAAGGGGGATCGAAGGGAGAAATTATGCATCAACTTTCACTAGATTTTGCTATCATTGAGTAGTTGAAAGTTTTAACCTTCACGTCTTTTGAAACCATTAAAAGGAAAAGAACAAAGATATGCATCTTTTAAGGTATCGATTGGTTTTATGGAAACAGCTGCGGCAAATGTAAGCTTTCATTCTATGTTGTTGGATAAAATTCGTGTAATTTGCTTTCCTTTTCCTTTTTATTTTTTCTCTTAGATTTCCCTTATGACTTTTCTTTTAAATGATAAAAACAAGTCGAAAACAATGAAAAACACGGAAATATAAAATGATTTAGTAACATAATGAGTGTGGTGGGATTAGGGAGGCGGATCTAGCCTTAAAGCTAGTAGATTCCCGTAAATCCAGTAGCCTGATAATATATAAGTGGTCTGCAAATCACTATATGGGTATAATGTAAGGACTATAATACGCAAATTAAGTAGCCTGATAACATTATTTATTTATTTTTTATAATGTATATAGAAATTAAACTCTATCAAATTAAGTTTCCTATAAACGTGTGTATAAGAGCCCGTTTGGCTTACCTTATTCAAAGTGAAGGATAAGCATCAAGCGATGAAAAAAAACTTTTAAGTGCTAGAACTAATTACGTATTTGGATTTAAGTGTTGAATTGATAATAAACAGTTAAGTGCTTGGTATAAAGGTGTTAGATCAATGGTGGAGATATGATTTTCATTAAGGGGATCAAATTATAAAGAAATAAGCTTACAAAGAAGTTAAGGGGTGTCAATACATATGATATATACATATTTTTTTAAAAAACCATAGCTACACAGTATAATTTTGTGATAAAGGGATGTCGGTGACACCCCTTGAGTGCATGTGGCTCCGCCACTGATGTTGATAAGCATTTTCTTGCGATGTAATGACAAACTAGATAATTTTTTTCATCTTTTCAAGTTTTAATAGACAAAATTATTTGGTATCTATATTTGTTAGATATCATATACTAGCATCTCCTAAAATTAGTCGAAATACATTCGAGCCGGACTGAATAGCAGAATTATCGAAAAAAAGTAAAGTTAAGCTCTCTTTTTTTAATTATCGTCAAAAGCATAAAATTGACATTATTTTGCAATTACTACAGCCACGCATGTTTTCTTGATTTGGGAGTTGAATTTAGTCCTCTATAGACTCAATTTTAAAAGTGTTTTAATTCATAGCCACCACCACCACTTCTTTAATTATAAAAAATCCTACTTCTTGCCTTTTGCTCTCACTTTTTTACACATTTTTGAATCTTAATTCTTATTCATTTTCCGACTATATTTCCGGCGAATAAACAACTCTGCAATCTCTATATTTGTGTCCTCAGATCTGCAACAAAGTTAAAGAGAAAAAAAGCAAACAGACCCTTTTGCAGAAAACAAACATTCAAATAATCAAAAGAGCTAGTATGGAATCTTTACCTATCTTTAGTCATTTCTTTATTTAATTCTTTTTCTATTTTTAATCTTCATTGTTTTTTGTATTAAACATTCAAAAGCCTGCTAACTATGAAAAAAAATACATTTTGTTAACTGCATGCTTAAAGCTCTTTTTTAGTCTTTAGCTTCTCTTTTCTTTCGATGAAAGTTCTCTTTTTTCCTTAAAGGTTGTGAGCGAGTGTGCAACTTTGTTTTCTGTATTCAGAGTTCATTTCCATTTGTTTAATCTTAATCACACATCTTACACATTATATTCCCAATGCCCAAATTAAAATATTTTCTCCGTTTAATTTATAGTTTCACACGGTATGAAATTTAAAAAATTTATAGATACTTTCGGTAACTTCTTTTAATAACGAAGATATTCAGATCAATTTATGCACAACTCAATTATTTCACTATTTTTGGTATGTTTCAGAAGTCTGATTTTAGTTAAACTCGTGTTTAGTTGGATACTTTCACATACTGTCTACAACACTATTCTTATATAATAGTTATTATATAAAAGTTAGATTTTTTTATATATTTTTTACAACAGTATTCTTATATAATAGTTATTATATAAAAGTTAATTTTTTCTGAAAATCGATTTTTGTGTTATGTTAGAATATATATCTTTTATAATATTAACAGTTAATATTGTGACAAATGAGAATATTATAGAGATGTTTGAGTGTATAAGAAATGAGAAAGAGTATTATTTGACTTCCCAAAACTCTATTTATTCCCAAAACTCGTTTCTATAAACTCCTCTCTCCTTCATTCCTTTTGCTTTTCTCGTCGACCAAACACATTTTCAAGACTCGCATTTTCCAGCAAAGTGGTTTCTATAAAAAGGTTTCGTTTTGCTCTTCTCTGTTTTCTTAAAAAGATAATTTTGAACTGCTTTTGTTTGCTTTTTCCTGGCCTTGCTCTTTTTCTAAAAAATCAAATCTTGGATTATTTGGTTTCACTTCTATTCAAGCTTCTTCTACACTTTCTTCTACTCATTTTAAGTGAAAATTTCCAGCTCTCTTCTTATGTTTGTTAGAAACCAAATCTTGAAGTTTTTTGGGTAACTATTCACTTCTCAACTATTCAAAGATCAAATTAACATTATTTATTTTTTACCTGTCTTATCTACTTCTTTTGCTTGATTTTACTGCTCCAACTGCTCCTTTTGCTTCAAAGTCAAAGATTTGTTTCTTACCCATTTCATAAATTTCACTTCAGGTCAAATCTGCATATGATCTTCTCTACTATAATCTGATGATTTGTTCAACCTATATGCACAGATAGTGAAGATTTTTCACACTATCATTTATTATGGACGACTATATGTCATTTAACATTTAGGTGATTAATTTTTTTCATAAAATCAGTGTATAGAAGTTAAGTTATTTTATATATTTTGAACCAATTCTCTAGTCCGTATAAGAAATAAAATCAGGTTAATTTTTATTTTATTTTTGCAGGAGAAGGCTAAATATTCAGTTAAAGAGTTAAGAGGGGCTACTGAGGAAACAAAAAGTCAAGGACATATATTCAAGCAGCAGGCTAAAGTTATAAGGATAACGTAAATCACAAGGTTTTGTTTCTGTTTTTCTCTTTCTCTTTTATATTACTATAGTTTTATTATTATTATTTCGTGGTACGTACGTGCATTTATTTTCTGTTGGATTTTAAGGGAATAGGGTCGGCTATATGCAGACTTTTATAGAAGGGAGAGAGAGAGAGAGAGGAGTAAATGAGTCTAAAATAGAGTGTCTCTGTACATTCTCATCATTGCTGTTTCTGTTTGTCTCTTTTGGCCTTTAATTCTCAACCATATCTTAAATCCTTGGGAATGAACAGAAGAAGAGAATTTACAGTATATTCTTTACTCTCTCTCTCTCCCTCCCTTTTTGTTCAACTTTTATTTTCTCTTTCTTTTGTTATTTTTTGTTGGATTTCAACGTGTCCGGCTTTGAGCTAAAATTCTATCGAAAATGGTTTCTTTATTTTCACGAGATATGAGTCTCGATACAAATTATCTTTCCGGATTTCACTTATGAAATTATACTAAATTTATTGTTCTTGTTATAATGTGTCCCATATTTATTTTGGATTCGGACTATTTCGCTAGTGTTTAGCCATAGATTTTCAATTTTTTTTTGAAAAATTTGATTTGGGTGAAGTTTGGTTTGAATATGAAAATGTATTTGGACATTAATTTTTAAAATATATTTTCCAAATTTATTTTGAAAAAATATGAAACATGACTTATACCCACAAGTTCTAAAACTATCACAAATACCCAACAGTACCATTATCAATAACATTCATTATATTATCGCAAACCATAGTCCGTAACATAAATAGATTTGATACAAAATTATTATTTTTATAATGAACTATATGATACACTATCAGGTGACCGAGAAGACGAATCAACATTGTTACAAAATAATAAATGATGAGCTCTTTTATAAAATACAAAAGTTTGGAGCAATTTTAAAAAATGTAATAGTGATATTTTGGCCCAAAACTAGCTATTGAGTTGGTTTTGGGATTTGGAATTTTGCCAAAATATAAGAAAATTTATGGCCGTGTTTGCCAAATAAAACTCAAATTTATTTTTGTAAAATCTATGACCAACGGGTCCTTCATATATCGGGTTGAAAAGTCTCACTTTAGTTTGAGATAAAAAATTTCCTACCAAAAAATAACTTTATAGTAATCAAATTCGAGATCTTTAATTAAAAATAAAAAAGTACTCTCTAATCTTCACAAATTCCACTTCTAAATTATACTATTAGAGTTGTTGTATTTTGGTGGGTGTGAGTCTTAACCCTATAGACCACACCTACACACCACCATTATTGTTTTCTTTTTTTTTTTCATCACACGTGATGAGTAGTTAAAGAAAGTTAATAAATGTGACCTTTGTGTATGAGTCTTGATTTTTTGGTCGTGTGACCAAATATTTTAAGCGTGCATTTATGGGTTATAGCCATGACCAAAGTCACAGCCTAATAGTAAAATATTGGAAAATATTAAACTTTTTTTAAAAGGTGGCCGAGCTTCATCCTATTTGCATTTTCTTGTATTTTAAAAATCCAAAAAAAAAATTATATTTGTTGCCAATAGTCTACTTTCGAAATTATCTGAACTGGTCTATCTTTCCATCCCATTTGTAATTTTAGAGTACTTTAAATAAATTTTGAATGAGAATCGACATAGGAACTACTATTAGCGAATCTTGGCCTAGAACCAAAATTGACCTTTAATTAACCGATCATATGTTTGAAGTCTATATTGACATTTTAATAAGTTAAGCAAAGTCCGTTAGTTGATTTTTTTTTTCTTGTCACCAAATAAAAGCTAATTGTTTTTGTTGAATTTATGCATCAGATCCAAGTTATGTTAATATGTTTTTTGTAAATGGTGAGCCTATGGCTACTTATTAGTGACTGTAATGTATAGTTCACTCTTATATTTAGATCATAAAATATTTTGGCTTAAGAATTATCAATAAGTTTTTCCTTTTTTTTTCCGTTCATCCAAGGGATTATAGTGGTTCACTTGGTCTCCCTCAAACTCTTTTTATTTTCATTTGTTTTTATAACCGTAATATCCGGCTCGATTTGTGCTACCTTAACTATTTTTTGCGGGATATCTGTTACTTCTTGTCAACACACTTACTAGATAGCTTTGTCCATTAAGGCTGGATAGATAAAAAACATTACCTAATACTTTTTATTCTGTGAAAATTTAAACCTAAGATCTCGTGATATTTGCATGACTCGAACATCTAACTTAGTGGTTTGAAACTAATGCGTCTCGCAATTAAGGCAACTCTAGTGATTCTAACTGGGCTTCTTCTTTAGAGGATTCACTTCTGTTTTTTTTTGGTGGGGAGAATTAAAGATTGAGTGTTGACCTATAGTACCTTCACCTATTACAAGTGGTGAATAATTTCTTCACAACAACCCTTTGTATATATAGCCACATTTTTCAAGTCTAGTTTCTCTCATCAAAGTACACAAATATATAAGCAACATATTTAAGACTGAGAACTGGAAATTCAATATAGTTTTTGGTCACAGCTCTCAAAGTTCAACTGCATCAAAGCACCATAGGACCTTAGGGGGATTTGGTGGGTTTGGTTAGTAGGAAAAAATTTACTCGCACTTGATATTTGCGTTAAAAATACGTAAATTTATCATGATTAAGGATAAATCAAGATAAGAATATATTTATTAAAAAGTCGTATATATTATGTATATTAATATGATGTAAATATTGAGTGCGTACAAAGTGAATATATGCAAAGGGGATAGAAAGAATAAACTTTGGCTTTGCAGTGAATCGTCGTTATCAGAAAGCAACTCCTTTATTGGTCAATGGGGATATTCATTGTTTCAAGTGCTGCCTACACTCCACAAGACACTGTTGTCTTGTTTTATACAGACATTTTGGACTGTTTGGTTGGAATACTAAAACCCCTATCTTCTTCTTTTTTTTCTTTTGTTTTTATTTGGAAAAATTATATATTTCACCAATCCCCAAAAAGAAAATTAAGTAGGAAAAAAACTCCAAACAATAAGACAAACAAAGCAAGCTTTGGAGGTTTGCAAGCCCAATAAATAGAGGAAAAAGCAAAATGTGCAAACATTATTAGAGTAGGATTTAAATTTTAGTAGAAGCATAAATATTAAGTGATCCCCTCTTCTATTCTAAGTTCTAACATGAGTTATGTTGGTAAAATGTAAGGGGTTGTTTGGTTTGAAAACAAGTTATGCTGGAATTAGTTATCCTGATATTATTTCTTATTAACTGTTTGAAATATTGTATTTAATCCTAAAATTGTCAATTTTACTGCTTTGTTCTGTGATAACTTATCTTGGGATTACTTTCACTCTCTGGCAAGTATAAGTTATTCCGGTATAACTTATCTCAAAATTAGTAACCAAACAAGGGATAAGGCGATACTAAATTTTTATCCCATTATTCTTTTTGTTTATCTATCATACCAAACGACCTCTAATAAATACTCTATGAGGAAGTTGAGGTACGTATAAATTAACCGGAACTTGTTAAAAAAGTAGAGGCAAAAAGAAAGACGCAATTTAGGGTGTTTTTCTTTTATTCTTAGATTTTTTTAAAATGTTTTTTGAGAAACAGATAAATGGATAAGTAAATATCTGTAAGAAGTAAAGGAGTAAAAGGACCAAGCAAAGTTGCTACTGTTTTTATTTATTACAAACATTGGGAATAAATCAATTAGTCAGAAATTGGGCCCTGAGCCAACTACTTGGACCGTTATGGTGAAACCATTCTGCCAACCAGCTTTGATACATCTCTATCTTGGTTTGGATCCTCCAATTTGAATTTAATAACTGGAACACTATTCATCACCAAATGTTGGGGTGGAGCAATAATTTTATTATTTTTAATTAGAGGTTTTGAGTTTCAAGTATAGAATCGTCTTTGAAAGGTAGTTTTACCCAAAGTAAGATTTCTCGGCACGAATCCGAATTTATTAGGCCCCATGTCAGGTTCCAAATACCACCACCAACAAACCCAGTATAATTTTTCAAGCAGGGTTCAAGTTCCAAACACCTAAAGGGCAGCCTGGTGTACTAAACTCCCGCTATGCGCGGGGTCAGGGGAAGGGTCGAACCATAAGGTTTTATTGTACGCAACGTTACCCTTCATTTCTGCAAGAGGCTGTTTCCACTGCTCGAACCCGTGACCTCCTGGTTACATGGCAGCAACTTTATCAGTTATGACAAGACTGCGGGTCACCCAGAGAGAAAAAAAAAATAGTTGAACAGTATTCACTCCTAGTGTTCTAAGTAATTATCTTCTGGTTTCTGCCAAACTGTTGAAAAATCCTTGGTGCCCAGGGATTTATTTTATTAGCAGCAGCATTTAGCATTAAATGCATTCTTGTACTGTTGTCTTAGCTCACAGTCACAGGCTGGAGCTTTTGGGCTACATTGTAAATTATAGACAAAAATTATGATCCACTAGTAATTCATTTGATTCTGATTATTTGAGCTAAATACACTATTGTATTTTATATACACCTATGGATGTAACTTATAAGCACTAATATACAGAGGCGGGTCTATGTAGTAATTAGAGAGGTTACCGACACCTGGAGAGTTCAGCAAAAATTTTGTGTATGCATGTAGTTAAAAATAGTAAAATATTAGTAGTGGCACCCGATATATAAAGTAGATGTTGGTTGAATGCAAAAATATACCCGCAACCTTCAAACCCTGGGTCCGCCTCTGCTAATATATACACTAAAACAATTACATTATCAAAGTACTATAATTTTGTTGTAGCATGTTAAATGCCTTATTTTCCAAATTTACTAATGCATTTTTTTTGATAACTGAGAATCTCCTACCAAGTGGTGCGTGGTTATATACTAGGTGGATAAATGGCTCGCCCCTCTATCTTTCTTCACTTAAATACTATGCGTGAATTTCACTTATTATGAACTGTTATTTGTGATTATCTTTTAGATAACTTGATAGCATAAAATTCTTTTACATTGGTTAAATCATTGATAAGAATGCAACAAGTTTTAATTTTTTCTCGTGGACTTTTCTTATATGCACTTATAGGGTAAATATCTTTTATACTATTAGTATTAGTATAATTTAACATATTGTAGCAAGTTAGTTATCGTTTTTACCAATTAGTAACCTGATTGTATAAATAAGTTAAAACTCTCTTTCCATTTATAGCTCTCATATATAAGCTAAGCTATAGTAGCGGCTAAAGCACTCACATTATTCAGTGTAGTGTTATTTGTAGCATGGCCACCTCAAAAAAGTGCAAAGAATTGTGATCTTTCTTGGAACAATGTTTAAGTATAAATAGCTAAACAAAATTTCATAAAAGTTACTGCTCAAATTTTGATAAAATTTTTCTCAGATCCCACTGTTAATTGTGGGAAGGTTTTTATTTTATTATTATTATTATTTTTTTTTTTTTTGGCTACTTTTTGCAAAGGTATCAGGCAGAAAATTGGGAGGGGGAAATCTAGCGGTCTTTAAAATTTGGTCACGGACCTCAATGGGATGAAACAGGTTAAAACTTAAAAACTAAAATAGGGTGATATATAGGGGACCATATATTTTCTGTCACATTGATTATGACATTTCATTGAAGAAGTTTGTTAGCATTAAGTTGACAGACAAATTTTGTCAGAGAAGAAATTCTAATGCTTAATTAATTTATGCGCTAACCGCCCAATTTATGTGACACTATTGATATTTGGGGAGTCAGATAAATTTCTACTTTGATTACAATTTCTCAAACTTTTTAAATATTTTGAATGATGGTATATTGAGTTATAGTACCTTTTACGTAGTTTTAAAATATGTATATCTTATTCTAGAAAACTTGAATAATTGGTTACTCGAATTAACACTGAAATTTAAATGTTTTGACCCTTGTATTCCGAATTCTTAAAATGGGACAGAGGTAGTATGTGTGTGTATATGTGTTTAAGCTTTGTACATGGAAAGTGTTTCAGTTTCTAAGACTACAAGATAAGTTGATCTATAACAATAGGTAATTTTTTAAGATTTAAGTTATGTACATTAATAGTGTAAACAATAATTTTTACAGTACTATTAATGGCTTGGATAGCAAGTTATTTATCATTTTTATCAGATTACCAATTAAGTCTCATCAAGAGATTTATGTCAAATTTACTAATAAGTGATTAAATTGTGTAAATTTTGTTTATACCAACAGTATAATAATACTTACTTTATAACAAATCTGATATAGTAACTTGAAAATGGGGTAATAACTTGCTACAAATACTGTAAGAGTATATGTAATTTAAATCCTCTATATAAATATTGAGCAACCATAAAGTTGTCTTTGTGTGACCTATAGTTCATGAATTCGAGTCTTGGAAGCAGTCACTAATGCTTGCATTTGGATAGGCCGACTACATCTCACTCCTTGGGAAGCGGCCCCTCCCCGGACCCCCTGCGTGATGCCTTGTGCACCGGGCTGCCTTGCCATATATATANATCCATACATGTGTGTATTCTTGTACTTTTTGATGTCGTCTACATATATCAGGTGTACTTTTGGTACTATTTATTATTTATCTTTCTGAGGTGAATTCCAGTAGCTTCAATTTTTATTTTATTTTTTTGCTTTTTTATGGGGGTGTCTTTTTAATTAAGGAATCCTTTTGTTTTACTTGGCCCGTTGGTATTTGCATGGTTGCATGGGTCTGTTACTTTGGCTTTGAATCTTTTCAGCGAAAAAAACTGTATTGAAGACAAAATACTGTGAAGATTTGATTCTTTATTACTATTCTTTTTGCTTCTTTTAATCCCTTCAGATTCTTGGATTTACACGTGAAAAATGTCATGCCAGTTAACTTTCTAGCAGCAGTACTTTAATTATCTATTCATTGTCTTATTATGCAAAATTTTCCCTTTATCCCTATCCTCTTTTAGCTTTCTGAATTGTTATATTTGTGAAACTAGCTGATGTTCATTATATTTGTCATGTGAAGGGCCATAGTTGAATATCACAAAAAATGCCTCAGTGGCAAATGAAAGACGCTGAGCAAAAGCATATGATTTCAAGAACTCCATTAAAAGAGTCGTTGAATCAGAACGCGCAATCCCAAATTAGTGGAGATCATAGAATTGAAGAAGTCAAGAGAAATAATAATGTGGGGAGGAGAAGGGGCAGGAGGAAAGGAAAAGGGATATTAGTCGAAAAAATGCAGGATATAAATGATTCTCAGACTAGTACCCCTTGTTCTGCTTCGTCATCCGAAAGAAGTCTCGTGTTTCCTTGTAGGCCGGGATATGGCCAACTCGGTACTAAGTGTATGGTAAAAGCCAACCATTTCATTGCTGAATTATCAGAAAGGAACTTAAGCCAGTATAGCGTAAGACGTTACTTCTTGGCGCCTAAATTTATTGGTAATGTTTTGGCAATGGTTTAAAATTCTACTCCTTTGATGATTTTGAATGCAGGTAAAAATTACTCCAGAAGTTAAATGTACAAGATTGAACAAGGCTATTATGGCTGATTTGGTAAAACTTCATAAAGATTCCAACTTGGGTAAAAGAATTCCTGTTTTCGATGGAAGACGAACACTTTATACAGCAGGGTTGCTCCCCTTTAACTCGAAAGAATTCACTATCGCTCTTGCTGATGATGATGAATGGATAGGAATCACAAAGTACCATTTTTTCTTGTTTAACCCTTTTTTCACTTTATGTTTAATTAACTACTTACAATGGAGTAGTGAGTGATTGATATTCTTGATAATATTTCCAGGGAGCGGATATTTACTGTCACGATCAAGTTCGTCTCACAGGCGAACTTGCATCAGTTACACGAACTTCTTTCCGGGAAGCAAGTTGACAGTCCTCCACAAGCACTTAAAATTATTGATATTGTACTCAGGGAGCTTGCTTCTCAAAGGTGCATTTCAGTGTTTGTTCTCTAATATTACTGCAATTAAATCAAGTTATCTGCTGTTACTTAGTTCTTCTCGTGTTTGTTTAGGTACATATCAGTTGGGAGATTTTTCTATTCTCCTAATATTAAGAAGCCACAGACACTAGGCAATGGCTTACAGTCTTGGAGGGGGTTCTACCAGAGCATAAAACCTACTCAAATGGGATTGTCACTTAATATTGGTAGGACAATCGTATTATTCTGTAAAAATTGAATTTCGCCAACTTGATATGATGGTATGTGCGTTTGATTACAATTTAATGTCTTGTATTTATTGAACAGATATGTCAACAACAGCTTTCATTGAACCACTCCCAGTTATTGAATTTGTTGCTCAAGTTTTGGGAAAAGATGTGAGTTCGAGGCCACTGTCCGATGCAGATCGAGTAAAGGTACAGATATTACACAAATGAATCAAATTAATTGTCCTTTAACTTTCTTGAAAACATCAACCATAAGGCAGCATATGTTTAGTCTAGAAACGCTTTCTCACTACAAAAAAAAACTGGAATTAGCTATGAACTTCGTCGCTAAATCGCTCGTAGCTAACAAAATTTCTTGATAATATGTCGCTAAATAGGACTAGCGACATATTTTTTTGTTTACCTACAGAATTTGTTTGTCATTAATTCCTGTTTTTTTTGTAGTGTCTTTAGATAAAAGCTGATTGATCGTTTGTGCCTCAAACAGGTTAAGAAGGCTCTCAGAGGTGTCAAAGTTGAAGTTACACATAGGGGAAATATTCGAAGGAAATACCGAATTTCTGGTTTGACATCACAGCCAACAAGAGAGCTTATGTACTTCTACTTTCATATACCTTTCACTTTTATTTTTATTTTTTGCACTTTTTCTGGATCTTAACACTTTACTTTCTTATGTTCATTACAGTTTTCCAGTTGATGAGGAAAAGAACATGAAATCAGTCATTGAGTATTTCCAAGAGGTGTACGGATTTACCATTCAGTATCCTCATTTACCTTGTCTCCTCGTGGGAAGCCCAAAGAAAGTAAATTACTTACCGATGGAGGTAAACATGCGGAAAAACTTCAAGATTCAACTCACTTTAATCTCAAGTGAAAAGTTTTCCAAATAACGATTGCTATTAATAGGCTTGTAAGATACTCGAGGGACAGAGATACACCAAAAGATTGGATGAGAAGCAAATAACTTCACTGTTAAAATCGTCATGCCAAAGACCACGAGAACAAGAAATGGACATTTTGCAGGTTTGTCAATTTATTTCCGTAAAAACATAATATGTAGATATATACATTTTTAATCCAATTTTTGGAATGCATTTGGCTTTCTTGTAATAGACACAAGGTTAGTAGGTAATTGTTTTATTTGATATTATCACAAATCGTCTATAAATTTGATAAGATGACGATCATTTTCTCCTCGGAAATTACTTCTTGTAAGCTCTTTCTTTCTAAAGGATTGGTTTTTGTGTTAATATAATGAACTGAAAGGTGTCCGCTATATGTCCAGACCATTCACCAGAACGGATACAAGCAAGATCCAATTGCAAAGGAGTTTGGCATAAGTATTGACGATAAGCTTGCAACAGTGGAAGCGCGAGTTCTCCCAGCCCCGTGGGTAATGTTACTGAGCTATTGTCTTTCTTCTTTTTGAGCCGAGGGTATATCGGAAACAACCTCTCTACCCCTCAGTGTAGGGGTAAGGTCTGCGTACGCACTACCCTCCCCAGACCCCACTAGTGTGATTATACTGGGTTGTTGTTGTTGGTTTTATAATCACTAAGAGATTATACATTTGTTTTTCTTGTCTTTGTTAGTTGAAGTACAATGATTCAGGGAAGGAAAAGGAATGTCATCCACAGCTAGGTCAGTGGAACATGGTAAATAAGGTAATAAAGTCCTGGTGAAATATCGATACTTAGGATCCTTTGGTTGTCGTATTTAGTATTCGAAGAATGATTAAATCTGAACATTTCCTTTATCATACAGAAAGTTATTAATGGAAGTACTGTAAATCACTGGGCTTGCATCAACTTCTCATGTAACGTCCAAGAAAATGCGGCCCGTGGATTTTGTCATCAGCTTGCCCAGATGTGCCAAGTTTCTGGAATGGTAAATGTTTCCGATTTGAACATCTTTTAGCGGCTTTAACTCATTTATTGTGGAAACAAGTTCGCATTATACTAAATATATCGAATATTGACATTTGATATCAGGAATTTAATTGTGAGCCAGTGGTACCGATTTATAGTGCTAGACCAGATCAAGCAAAGAAGGCACTAAATTATGTATATAATGCTGCTGCAAACAAACTTGGAGGAAAAGAGTTGGAGTTGCTAATTGTCATTCTTCCTGACAACAATGGTTCTTTGTATGGTAAGTGCCAAGCTTTGTTAAATCTTCTATAATGGTGATTACGGTCGTGAGCATATGTTGGAAAAAATTCTTCCGCTTGATAGATCTGGAATATATGTCGTCTATAGATTTATGAGTATCGTTAACACATTGATCATGAGCCGAGAGGTTTATCGGAAACAGCCTCTCTACCTTCAAGTTAGGGGTAAGGTCTGCGTACAGGCTTCTTGTGGTTGTTGTTGTTAACACGTTGATCATCAATGTTTAGGTACTTTGAAGAAAATTTGTGAGACAGATCTGGGGCTGATTTCTCAGTGTTGTCTTACAAAGCATGTATTGAAAATTAGCAAGCAATACCTTTCAAATGTATCTCTGAAAATCAATGTGAAGGTATGTAGTAAATGACCAGCTACCGCTAGCAATTTTATGTGCTGAGATGATTATAATCCATTTCTTATGTTGTGTGATAGATGGGAGGAAGAAATACTGTACTTTTAGATGCTTTGAGATGGAAAATTCCTCTCGTCAGTGATATCCCAACGATTATATTTGGTGCGGACGTGACTCATCCGGAATCAGGAGAGGATTGTAGTCCATCAATTGCAGCTGTGAGCATCAAAATTTATATTTTGTTATATATATAAAAGCTAGAATCTTTTCTGGTGTATAAATTTGGATATGTAATTTTCTTGATACAGGTGGTAGCATCACAAGATTGGCCGGAAGTTACTAAATATGCAGGTTTGGTATGTGCTCAGCCTCATAGACAAGAACTCATTCAGGATCTTTACCGGACCTGGCAAGATCCTCAACGGGGAACAATGTCCGGGGGGATGATTAGGTGCATATAATGCTTAATATCGTCACTTAAATCTTGCGAAATGTGAACATTCAGTTAACTAAAATGCACTGACATGTTTATTTTTACCATTTTCCAGAGAACTTTTGTTGGCATTCAAGAAAGCCACAGGACAAAAACCACTGAGAATTATATTCTACAGGTACAATCATGTGATAATTTTCTCGATCAGTTCATTCAATACGAACAAGTGGATATTGCTGTGAATTACATTATCTTTCAATTTTATGTAGGGATGGTGTCAGTGACGGGCAATTTTATCAGGTCCTACTTTATGAACTCGATGCAATTCGTAAGGTATGCAAGTTTTGGCGTTATTCTTATATAATTTTCAGTTCTGTGCTTGTATAGTTCACTCATTCTTTGCAATACACAGGCTTGTGCATCTCTTGAACCAGGTTATCAACCTCCAGTAACGTTCATAGTTGTCCAAAAACGTCACCACACACGACTTTTGCCAAACAATCACAATGATAGAAATCATACTGACAGAAGTGGAAACATCCTACCTGGTATAACTCTACTCTTCTTACACTAACTATTGTGCTTAAACTTATTGAAAAAGTTCACATTACGAAATGGGAGAAATTCTCCGACTGGTAATTAGATGCTCGATAGCCTAAGTGAGGTTTGCGAACTTTGTTAGTTAATATGCTGGCCAATTTTCCTTTTTGACTTAGTTATGTGTTATTTTTTCCAGTTGTTTGACTTAAAATCACCAAATGCAGGTACTGTGGTTGATACTAAAATTTGTCATCCCACTGAATTTGATTTTTACTTGTGCAGTCATGCTGGAATTCAGGTGAACTGCTAATCATTTGCTTCAGTTTAATTTTGGATTTCTAAAGTACCTCATTTGCTTAGTATGTAGTCTGTTAATATTCGATTTCTAAAAAAGGGAAGCCCGGTGCATGAAGCATCCAGCGTTCATGCAGGGGCCGAGGAAGGGCCGCACCTTAAGGGGGTGTGATGTAGGCAGCCTATCCTGATGCAAGCATCAGTGGGTTGATTCCACCGCTCGAACCCGTGACTTATAAGTCACACAGAGACAACTTTACCGTTGATCCTAGGCTCCCCTTCTAATATTCGATTTTTGATGTGCTCATATTTCGTACCAACCGCTAAAGTTGATGCCATGTGACCAGAAGGTCACGGGTTTGACCGTGGAAACAATCTCTTGCAGAAATGCAGGGTAAGGCTGCGTACAATAGACCTTTGTGGTCCGGCCCTTTCCCGAACCCCGCACATAGCGGGAGCTTAGTGCACCGGGCTGCCCTTTTCATATTTCGTACCAAGTCAAATACCATACGCTAGCTCGTTAGGGATACAACTCTTTATTTGGAAGAAAGCTCCACAAGAGTTAACAATGTTGGATTTTGCAGGGAACTAGTCGTCCCGCGCACTATCATGTTCTCTGGGATGAAAACAATTTTACTGCAGATGAAATGCAGTCTTTGACTAACAACCTTTGCTATACGTAAGGAATCTTAATTCTCAACATTTATCCTTTTCGAAAGTTGCTTTTGATATTTATTTTTGGGAAGTTCCTTAGTGACTGTTTGATTAATTGCAGATATGCTCGATGCACTCGATCTGTTTCAGTAGGTAAATTTCTAATACTCTCTCCTAAGAGAATTAGAGAGCTTAGATTCCATAGGCTTGTTGTAGTTGTGTGAGCTTAATCCTTGTGCTGAAATTGATAATAAGCTCGTTCGCATAACTTACATAAGTTTTGTTCTGGATGCAGTTCCTCCGGCGTATTATGCTCATTTGGCAGCCTACAGGGCACGTTGCTACGTAGAACCTGACTCGTATGGCAATGGTTCAAAGCGTAGCACACGTACAACGAATGGTTGTGTCAGCGTCCGTCCTCTACCAGCATTGAAAGAGAAGGTGAAGAATGTGATGTTCTATTGCTAGAGTTAATGTTAATGTTACATAGTAGTCAGTACATGTATGAAATTAGGATAGGGATCTAATCATGAACTAATGCTATGTTTATATGGTGGGGAGCGAATTGCAATAAGAAATTTTGTAAGTTTTGTGACTAGAGGTCTGCTCTCTGTGTAATACATGTATAATGCCTAGTTAAAATTTAGGAATCAGATGAATAGCTTCACTTGGAGATATTTGCAGTTAAATCAGTGTTTTAATAAGGTAGGGTGTTTTACTTATATATATATATATATATATATATTTTCATTCTTACGTGTAGAGATACCTATTTATAGTGGTTTGTTCCTGCATCAATAGTAACTTGAGCTATAGTTTACGAGAAGTGACAAGATCATCAAAAAAGAGGCACTCAAGCTTGACTATACGATCGGTAAGAAGTATTTTAGACCTGCGAAGCAAAAGCATTTTTCCTAGCATTAAACCTTACTTCAAAGACTGGAAAGCTTACAACACAGTTCATACAGCGAAGTATGGATGATTGTTGAGACCCGAAAACAAGACAGTCTGAAAAATGGGCCTTCTGTCAACATACATTCGAGAATAGAATAGATGAGATGGCTGTGATTAACAAAGTAGGGGGAGGTGAGTCTTGTCTCCTTTCACTTTGTTGTACTCGGAGGAGTGGTGACATATATATATGGTTGTGTTCGGGTAAGTTTGATGCATTTTGACTATTTCACCGAGTACCACCAGCATAAGTATCGAATAATTTTGTCTGCTAAGGCTCAGGCAGGTGAACACGTCACCTATTCGGAAGTGAACCTGTGGTATTTGAGCTCATATCGTCCGTTGACGTAAAAAAAATGGAGGGAATTAAGAATGTAGATACATATAGATATATTTTTCAAATCGAGATTAAGTTGATATTCAGTGTACTTCTGAATAAGCTCTTCCACTGCAGAGTATATCAGTATGCCTTATATAATAACGAATTAGTGGCAAATTCCAATTTGTCCATTAATTAGGCATATTTCATAATCATTCCCCCTTTAAAAATATTTATTGAGATATTAGTCTTACAAATGCGATGCTTTATTTTAGGACTTTCAAAGTTTCCTACTTCTTACATGTAACAAGCTTTCCTTCTGAATTTCCTTCTTAGTCATAAGTTTTTCAAATACTGTAAAGAAAAAAAATACATCTAATAAGCTAGTGATCTCAGAAACCCTGTAACATCTTGATGTGGACTTCAACCGCAAAAAGTTTCAACAAATATATAAACCTACATATTCCTACTTAAAAAAATTAGGATTAATTAAAAACAAGGTTCCTACTTCTTCCTCATGTATAAATTAGTCGTTGAATTTATGCAGCTGGAGCATAATCATAATCGCCATCATTGTCGTCTCCTTCTAATGATGCTGCTGGAGCATAATCATAATCTCCATCATCGTCGTCACCACCTCCTTCTAAGCATGCTGCTGGAGCATAATCATATCCATCATCTCCATCGTCATCTCCATCTAAACACGACCTTCTCTTCTCGAACCCAATAATCTTGAAAATGCTAGACATTATTATATATCTTCTTAATTGGACTATAAAAATATGAGATATTGGATGTTGCGTTTATCTCTTTGATAAGATGTGAAGAATGGTGTTTGTAGTGTGTATGATTGGTGAAGAAACCATTTGCTTATATAAAGGTAAGAGCAAACTGTGGACTCAATTTGACGGATGTTGGCACGTTAGGAAGTGCGTTATGCTACTCGGAAGAATGTGCAGAGCCATAAGTTTGCTGCCTATAAGCTACTTTTGGGGCTGCCACATCCAAAATTCACTTTACATGTCATTATATATGATGAGTATTCATGGGTTTAGTCAGAATTTGAAGTTTAAGAATTTTAATCTTAACGTCAAACTCATAGCTTATTTTAGTTACTGGATCTGTAGTTGAATATTTATCCATATTTGAAAATTTATTAATATAAATACAGAAATTCAACTGAACCTGTACTTAACAATCTAGCTCCGCCCCGAGTGTTAAAAAGATTATTCTCTATCCTAGTGGTGGATATAGAATCTCTCTCTCTATGTATAAATTTTGAGTGGGATTTCAGTATAAACCATCAAAATCCTTTTAAAAGAACGTAAAAGCAAAAAAATCATTATCAGCATAATTTGTTGTTGTCTTCACTTTACATAAACTAATCTGTTCGCCCCATGCAATTGTCTATATTTGGTGTTTCAACCTTTTACCAAAAAAAAAAAGATAGAACGTGTGCATAAATGAGCCAAAACAAATCTTAGTCCGTGGAAACGTGTGCATGGCACGTGGAAGTGTGTATTATCTATGTGGATGCTGACTTGCTTGGTTGGCATGCCACCTAGGCGAATATATTGACTATATTTATGTCGAGTACATGTCCTTTAGACTAAAAATATTTTGAAAATGTCGACATTCCTTTTTGTGCTCAAGTATATGTATCCAACATAAGCGCGGTTGACTACCCTAGTGAACCAAGAAATATATGTTCAAAATTTAATATATCTGTTTTAAAAGTTGCAGTTGAGTACTTTATTTTCGTTTTAGTAAATTTTTATTAGAGGTGACCTTTTCTAAAAACGAAAATAATTTAATTTAAACTTTTTATTTCATTTACAAGGTTTATAGTCACATAACTGTTATAATTAATATATTTAAGATCACAATTTTAAACTTCGTGTCCAATCAAATAGGATCACGGAGAGTATCTGACACCTTTTTTGACTCCTACATACAGTGGTGAAAATCTGGATTTGGATCGTGACAATTGTTTGGGCCGGCTTCAAACCTGTTGAAGCTACCATATTTCTACTCGACCAACATTAATTTCTGCAGAGTGAAAAGAAGAATTTGGCAAAGGAATTCATTGATATGTCAGTGAAAAGCTCAGAGTCGTTACCCTTATAGTTCGAGTATATGGGGCTTTAATTACTTGTAAATGTGTTGCAAATTGATTGATAATGGATACCGGATCTTATGATTATGATGTCTATATCTTTCATCTTAAGAATTACTACATGCATTTTCTGGGGGACAGAAAGATGTTTATAATCATATTGTGATCAACTATGGAATATAAATACGATCACAATCCCATATTACTGATTACATTATGAATATTGATATAGGTAATTGTCTGGACCTGTTTGGAGTATATCTGATGAAGAGATGATAGTCTTTTTGCTAACAAATCTGCCTGGCATTTAATTAGATAAAAAAAACAGAAAAATGATTTCTTAAGGAAGGTTTGGCATAACTCTATTCCCTTTAAAATATCTTTCCTAACTTGGTGATTGTTCAAAAGAAATTTGCCGTTTGATGACATGATTGGTAGGTTTGGTACTAACATCACATCTAGATGCTCTTGTTGTAGTTTTCCATAGGTAGAGATCACCATGCAACATGTGTTCATGGATAGTGAAGCAGCAATGTATATATGGAATGCAATTGGCAACCCACTAGGAATTAGGAACCAACAGGCCCCTGTTTCTGCAATCTTCAAAAGGTGGTGGGAAGAAAAAACAAACAACATACTTCATGGCTTGATTCTCCAAGTTGCACCAACTGTCATATACTGGGAAGTATGAAAACGGAGAAGCTCATGTAGATATGGCATACAGAAGAAGTTTCAACTCAACTTCATGAAATACCAAGTAATATGGACTATCAAGTATCAAGTCCATTATTGCTAAGTTGATGCCTAATGGAGATGCCTCATTTCAATGGCCTACTATATGCAGCAGAGTGGAAAAGCTGAGACCTATGCAAACCTGGAAACAAGTTCAATGGCAATCTCCTTTATATGACACTATCAAAGTCAACACTGATGGTAGTTACATAAATGAGAGTGGGAAAACTGGTATAGGAGGCATAATCAGAGATGGCAATGGTGATTGTATCATGGCCTTTGCAATGCCTTTTATTTGCGACAACAATAATATGGCCGATGCCTTAGCCGCTGAGTTTGGAGGGAAATGGTGCAACCAATTAGGATACACTAAATTTGCTCTTGAACTTGACTCTACAGTCATTGTTAATATGCTCAACCAGAGAGGAACAAAGAACATGAAGCTAAAGATGGTGGTGGTCAGGATTATAAACATTATCCAAAATGCAAGCGCTATTAGAGCAGTGCACAGCAGAAATAAATATCGGACATACCTCCAGCCATTGTTACGGTGTCGTCGGCGACGGAAGTTTTCCTCCGGCGGGTCTTCTAAGAACTTCCGAAATTTTCACTAGATGGTATAGTAGTTAAGAAGGTTTTTCTGTGCTTAGGGATCCAATCCATAGTTTCTCCTTTTATACTGTTCTTCCATCAAGAATAATTACTTGTTCAGATGCATAAGGGGCAAATAGTTTCTTTATGACAATGGGCAATTTCAAATAATTATGTTGAAATAAAGTTTCAACTTGTTCAAATTAAACGAACCATCTTTATGAAACATTCAATAGAGGACGTTACTAACATTCTCCCACTTTGTCCATATAATTAATGCCCAAGGCCATAGTACTCATACTTTAAAGAGAATCATAATACATGAATCATGGCGATAGTTTCTCTACGAGTGAGTAGTGTTTTCCATGTATCACGATGCATTATGCCTCTATACTTAAGCCCATATTTCTTAATGAATAAACCTAATGTTTATTCTAGGTCCATACTTTAGTGATATTTCTCAAAATAACTGTATGTGTACATAATAACAATATGAGAAATTTCATATAATAATAGAGTTTCATAAATATCATTGTTACAACGAAATTTACATAGTGGAACCAAGTCCCATCGTAACTATATTATCCTTTAACTTTTTGTGGTGGCATGCCTTTAGTTAAAGGATCAACGAACATCAATTCAATGCTAATATGCTTAATGACCACTTTTTTTTTTTATCCTTAACACGTTCTCTTATGGCTAGATACTTAATGTCGATATGCTTGCTTCGACTCCCACTTTTGTTATTCTTAGCCATAAAGACATCAGCTGAATTGTCACAATATATCCTCAATGGCCTAGAGATCGAATTGACAATTCTAAGCCCGGAAATGGAACTCTTCAACCATACACCATGTGAGGTAGCCTCAAAACAAGAAACGAACTCAGCCTCCATAGAGGAAGTAGCAGTTAATGTCTGCTTGGGACTCCTCCAAGATATAGCTCCACCGGCTAACATAAAAGT